CGCCTCTCCTCTCACCTGTTCTCTCCTGCTCTCTCTCTCTCTCCTCTCTCCCCTTTCTTCCTCTGCCCCTCTCTTTCTCTCTCTCTCTCCTCCCTTCCTCCTGTTCTATCTCTCCCTCCCCTCCCCTCTCCCAATTCTTCTTTCCTCTGCCCCTCTCTCCTCCTCTCTCTCTCCTTCTCTCTCTCTCTCTCCTCCACTCCCTCTCCTCTCTCTCTCCTCCTCGCCTCCTCTCTCCACTCCCTCTCCTCTCTCTCTCTCTTCTCTCTCTCTCTCCTCTCCTCTCCACTCCCTCTCCCTCTCTCTCCCTCTCCTCTTCTCCACTCCCTCTCCTCTCTCTCTCTCTTCTCTCTCTCTCTCCTCTCCTCCTCCACTCCCTCTCCTCTCTCTCTCCTCTCCTCTTCTCCATTCCCTCTCCTCTCTCTCTCTTCTCTCTCTCTCTCCTCTCCTCCTCCACTCCCTCTCCTCTCTCTCTCCTCCACTCCCTCTCCTCTCTCTCTCCTCCTCTTCTCCACTCCCTCTCCTCTCTCTCTCTCTTCTCTCTCTCTCCTCCTCTCCTCCACTCCCTCTCCTCCTCTCTCTCCTCTCTCCTCTCTCTCTCTTCTCTCTCTCTCTCCTCTCCTCCTCCCCTCCCTCTCCTCTCCCTCTCCTCCTCTCCTCCACTCCCTCTCCTCTCTCTCTCCTCTCTCCTCTCCTCTCTCTCTCTCTCCTCTCCTCCTCCACTCCCTCCTCTCTCTCCTCTCTCCTCTCCTCTCTCCTCCACTCCCTCTCCTCTCTCTCTCCTCTCCTCCTCTTCTCCACTCCCTCTCCTCTCTCTCTCCTCTCTCTCTCCTCTCCTCTCCTCCTCTTCTCCACTCCCTCTCCTCCTCTCTCCTCTCCTCCTCTCCTCCACTCCCTCTCCTCCTCCTCTCATCCTCTCCTCTCCTCCTCTTCTCCACTCCCTCTCCTCTCTCTCCTCTCCTCCTCTCCTCAACTCCCTCTCCTCTCTCTCCTCTCGCTCCTCCACTCCCTCTCCTCTCTCACCTCTCCTCTCTCCTCCACCTCCCTCTCCTCCTCTTCTCCACTCCCTCTCCTCTCTCTCTCCTCTCCTCCTCATCCTCCACTCCTCTCCTCTCTCTCTCCTCTCCTCCACTCCCTCTCCTCTCTCTCTCCTCTCTCTCTCCTCTCCTCTCCTCCTCTCCTCCCTCTCCCTCCCTCTCCTCCACTCCCTCTCCTCTCTCTCTCCTCTCCTCCTCTCCCTCTCCTCTCTCTCTCCTCTCCTCCTCTCCTCCTCCCTCTCCTCTCTCTCCTCTCCTCCCTCCCTCTCCTCTCTCTCTCCTCTCCTCCTCTCCTCCACTCCCTCTCCTCTCTCTCTCCTCTCTCTCTCCTCTCCTCTCCTCCTCTTCTCACTCCCTCTCCTCTCCTCCACTCCCTCTCCTCTCTCTCTCCTCTCCTCCTCTTCTCCACTCCTCTCTCCTCTCTCTCTCCTCTCCTCCTCTCCTCCACTCCCTCTCCTCTCTCTCTCCTCTCCTCCTCTCCTCCACTCCTCTCTCTCTCCTCTCCTCTCTCTCCTCTCCTCTCCTCCTCTCTCCTCCACTCCCTCTCCTCTCCTCCTCTCTCCTCCACTCCTCCCCTCTCTCCTCCACTCCCTCTCCTCTCCTCCTCTCCTCTCCTCTCTCTCTCTCCTCTCTCTCTCCTCTCCTCCTCTCTCCTCCTCTCCCACTCCTCTCCTCCTCTCTCCTCTCCTCTCCTCCTCTCTCTCTCCTCTCCTCCTCTCCCTCTCCTCCTCTCTCTCTCCTCTCCTCTCCTCCTCTCTCCTCCACTCTCTCTCCTCTCTCTCTCCTCTCCTCTCTCTCCTCTCCTCCTCTCTCTCTCCTCTCCTCTCTCTCCTCTCCTCTCCTCCTCTCTCTCTCCTCTCCTCTCCTCTCCTCTCCTCTCCTCTCTCCTCTCCTCTCCTCTCCTCCTCTCCTCCTCTCTCCTCTCTCCACATTGTAAGAACCCCAGCCCGCAGAGTGAGTGGTGGGTGTGGTTGTGCTGCAGGTGGAGGAGCGTCTGGACAAATACCTGGAGCACTACGACATTGTCCTGGTGCGAGACGAGACGCTGGAGGTGCCCAACTCCATCCTGCAGAAGGTGCTCTGAGGACAGCGCCCCCTACGGACTGTGTGGAGGCTGCACTTTAGACACGGTTACAGAGGACGGACCTGAGGAGTGTGTGGAGGAGATAACAGGGAGATTAAAGGAGATGTCTTTTTGAGCTTTTAACCATGTTTTAAACGGAGCGGGCTGTAAGTGAATGTCTCGGGTCTCAGCAGGAGGGGCGTAGGAGAATTTCATAATCAGAATCAGAATCATTTTTATTGCCAAGTAAGTAACAAACAAGTTACCACTTGGAAATTGTTTTGGCAGAGAGTGTGCCACTCTTGTGAGAAACGTCAAAAAGTAACGAAATGTAAGAAAAAGTAACGTAAATGTAAGAAAATATTACTATTCTTTTTTTAGGACAAGTGGAAGTAGCCTGAGGTACGCGGCCATGAGAGCATTTAAAGGGGATGTATGTTTGTGTGTCTATCTGTGCGCACTTGTGTGTCTGTCTATCAGGGCTGGGCGATATGGCTGAAAACTATATCACAATATAAGTAATTCATATCGGTCGATAACGATATATATTGATTATCCATTTTTAAAAACGTAAATAAATACATTTGTCGTGTGGGCTATCACACGTTAGCAGCCTTGTTTACAGTCACGGGGGAATGAGGCTGGAGCCAAATCTTCACAAGCGGTCTCCCCCACTTTAGTACTGGTTTAATCCTGGTTTAACTCCTGTTTTGGCTGTTTTCGAGTGTCTTGTGTCCCCGTGGCGGCTCCGGAAAGTTAATCCCCTGCTTTTGCCGAATGCATGGAGTCTCTGTGCCCACTGCCTCTCCCGCCGCACATGCTGTTCCTCGCACGGACGTGTTTAACCATCGACACGGCTCTGAAACACGTTCTTTAGATCCATGGCTTTATAACAGATCCATGATCCATGGACGCTACGCATGGTGCGCTTGTTGTTTTTGCTTTTCCCAGAAAGTTTTGCGGTTTGTAGTCGGCTGTGATAGGTTGAGAAGTCTCTGCCTACATCCCCCAGAATGCCGCGCGTTTCTGACTCTGCTTTACTTCCTGTTTTTCCTTCCTGTTTTTTCGAACGGAGTGAAGTGAAACTATCGAACGTTCTATCGACCCCGTTTTCTATTAAAATCGAGCACGTGTCTATCGCAATATTTATCGTTATCGTTTTATCGCCCAGCCCTACTGTCTATGTGTGTTAGTGTGTGTCTGTCTATCTGTGCGTGTGTGTCAGTGTCTGTGTGCATTTGTGTGTAATTGTGTGTCGGAACATGTGTGTCTGGGTGTGTGTCTGGGTGTGTGTGTGTGCTTGAACCCGACCTGAATCCAAGCCTGACAACTTGATCTAACCTGGCTAATATCATTGCTGTGTGCATGTGCGTGACAGCTTGCTCTGCTGTAGTGCTCCAGCAGGGGGCGCCAGTCCTTCTGCAAAAAAGGGTCACGTGACTCTGGCGTCGAAATCCTTTTATTTATTTTAACCTAAATATTTATTCTCATTATAGGTCAGTGAGTTCTCATTGCTCATGTGGAAGATGGACACGAGTGATTGACAGCTAAGTTAGCATCGTGCAGCTGGTTTGAATCAGATGTTTTTATTGACATTGTAGGGCAACAGGAATTCACAAACAAGAAATTTGCTTTGGCCCATGGTGCAATTATATTAAAGAAAATAGTTAAAAAAAATAAACCTAAAGGCATGAGATTCTAATATATAAACATGCTGTCCTTTTAGCATCTTTACAGCTAACATTAGCATCTTAATGGCTAATGAATGCAATTTTACGGCTAGGGGTTTATTTTTATTTTTATTTTTGTTTTTTTATGAAAAAGGGCTCTTATGTTCTAGTAGATTGTGAGACAGACACAAGGCTCAAGCTCGCCCCAAGGACGTCCCAACCATTAGCGGCAGTGACGTGATCTGGCCAATGGGTAAACTGGCAAAATACCATGTAATTGATTTTCACAACATCAGTTGTCTTGAGGACTTTACCAAGTTGTTGATTCCTGAACAATAGATCAGAGAATCAAACCGTTCGAACGTAGGAAAATGCAATGATAAAAATCCATTGATTCATAGGGAGCGGGATGACCAATGTCCTCAAAACAATGCTAATTAACCTAAATACATGTTCGTAAATGTCCATAAAAGTCACTATCTTTAGACCCTCCTGCATCGGCAGGAGGGTAGATCCTCCTGCCTCAGTCCTGTAGATTCAGGACTGAGGCTGTAGATCCAGGACTGAGGCTGTAGACCCAGGACTGAGGCTGTAGACCCAGGACTGAGGCTGTAGACCCAGAACTGAGGCTGTAGACCCAGGACTGAGGCTGTAGACCCAGGACTGAGGCTGTAGAACCAGGACTGAGGCTGTAGACCCAGGACTGAGGCTGTAGACCCAGGACTGAGGAAGACGTTGGCCCCTCCGACCTCCATCACGCACACACCCGACTTTACGCCAGTGCTTGAAACGTGGTTAAAGGCTCATGCAGCAGCAGACGTGCCCTTTAACAGCAGCACTTGTGTATAGTGTCATTTATTACTGAGGAGCAAAGTGCATTATTATGTTCATGTCTGCAATGTTTGAGTTTAAAGTTAATGTTGTTGAGTAAGAACAACATGGGGGAGACTGGGTAATAACAACATGGCCCCTTCATTGTGGGACTTTTCCTGTTTACATGTGATCTGAAAAACACAGCGACGAAGCAATGTTATGAATCCTCCATGTTATTAATGAGTAAATGTTTAAGAAAGAATAAGAATTGTGGGAAGAAAGTGACTGGAATAAAGAATTGGTTGAGTTTTTTTATTTTTTATGTCCGCTCCCACCTTCATCTCTGTTTATGATGTGTGAAATCTTATATTGGGGAGATTGTGGCTTTAAAGCTGGGGTACCTGACTTTCCTTTTTACATAAATATATGTGCCAACAGAAAGCGCCGTATAAAAGTCAAAAAGACAGTGGACAAATCAGACCATGACGCAATTTTCAATTCCATTTATTTTTGTACAGCGCTAAATCCCAACAGAGGTATTTGTTAGAAAGAAAGAAAACCGTGAGAGCTGATTGGCTGATAAGGGTGGTCCTTTCTTTTTTTTAGTTTTCTGTCTGAAAAATCTGATCTAAAGATTTGACAGAGGCTACAATTCATGAAATTAGTGATAGAAGCAAACTGGTTCGGAGCCAGATCTAGCGTCATAGATTTTGCCGTATGTTACATAGTGTCGAAAATAGAAAAGATGCCGAGGTCTGGGGTCGAGTGTCACAGCAGAAGAAGAAATGTTATTTTATTTTGTTTTTTGTGATTTAAAACCAGAGGAATCAAGGTCCTCCTCTGAGCATCTGCTACGGCACCAACTTCAGACCAAAAGTGGAAAATTACTGGTTTCTGTAAAGTGTTAGAATGACAAGCTTAGGTTTGACCAAAAATCCTTCAGAAGTGTTAAAAAGATCCAAACTAGTTCTAAATGTACGTTCCCCAGCTTTAAATATTACCAGTGATCGGAAGTGTCTTATGTTTCTAGATATTACACTAATTTTTTTCCAAACTTTATATGGACAAAAGCAAATACGGACTTGCACCTTGTACATTTAGACGATTGGAACTCAACAGTAAAGGCGTTAACACAACCGTAAGAACTAAAGTTTAAAGAGTAAAAACTTTATATTTACACGTTTGGCCGGGGCTGGCTTCTTCCGCATTAAAACTAACACTGTGGTGATGTCACACTTGCTCAGTCCACTCCTTATATACAGTCTATGGTTTAAAGGAGCAGTATGTTAAAAAAAAAAAAGAAATCTGGCCAAAAGTGATACTGCAGCCTCTCCCACTCTCCCTGACTCAGGTTGCCAGATATGCAGACGAATCCAGCTGGGGCCATAATATCTGAATAGACGAGAGTTTTGGCAACAACAAATCTATAACCAACACCTTCTTCACAAAGATAGAAATCCTGATTTTAATCCTTGTTTTGTCGTTAATGATTTGAGAATCACAACGAGACCTATTTTAGTTCTGCGGCCACATGGTACTTTACCAGTGAGATTAGCTCCACACGGTGAATTCTGGCAACTTGGATAACGGACTTTCTGATTGGTAAAACGGTGGAGAGCGGGACATCAAAATGAAAACAGTAACAAGATTTAGCGGCTGTAAAACTCATTTTGAAATCCAAATATCTCTGAACTACTGTTACCAGTTAAAGAAGTATTTGAAAAGATCGTGTTTCATGAATGCCTTTTGACAGATTAGGGCCCTTTAATGATGACTTGACATGAAAATCTTACTGCTTTAAAACAGTGTTATAGTTTTGGCTGTCGCTACATCCTCATGGTTAGGGAAAGCACTTTAAAGCTGCTCTCTGTGTATCATATTTATACTGTATATATTTTTAACGGAAGCAGGCGCTGGTTTTGCTCTACCTCTGATCTCTGTGACTGCTGCTGCTGTCGACACTATTTATCCTTGAACATAAATATATCCTGCAGATGGGGACGTGCTCCTCTGCCACCAGTGCTTTTGTTTGTGTGAAACCTAAATGCAATAAAGAACTCTTTTTGTGACGCTGTTGGATTGTTGTTTTGTATCACACTGCGCAGAGGTGGTAAAAGTCTTTGGCGCTAGTCTCAAACACGCTGCCCCCTAGTGGACAGTAAAGTCAGTGCGGCCCCTACTGAGAGTCTGTGATGATGTGTTAAGAGAAAATAAATCAGGTATAGTTCCTTTGAGTTATTATAAAAATACGTATTATTACATACAATAAAATATAAAAAAAATACAGCATTTTTATTTGACCATAAACTTTGAACCCTGCAGCAAGCAATAATGCAAAGATAACTTTATTCAACTCAGTCCACAACACGAAGCTTCACTGCTTTTTGTCCCGTTTTGTTTCACAGCAGCTGGACTCAGTTTGTTCATGGAAATATGTTAAAATATATCAAATTCATGTTCAATAAAAGTAATTATTTGGCCTAAACTCCCTCATGACTTTGACTTTCTCTGTGAATGTTAAAGAATGAGAAGAGTTTGAAATACATTGTTTATTATATTTATCCAGGAGATAAACTGTGGGAGCAAAGTGCAATAGTGTTCGTGCTAAATGGATTTTAAATTGGTTACAGTTAAATACACAGTAAGACATGGGGTGTTCATATTTCAGAGTAAAGTGGTTTTAACCCAGATCAAGCAACTTTACTCTGAAAATATATCAGTGGAGTGAATATGAAAATCTGCAGACACACAGTGACAAATCGGCGTTTTTGTGATCTATTTCCCATCAGAATCAGAATCATTTAAAATCTATTTAACACAATATTGAGTATAAAAACTATAAAAATGTCACTCTGACCAGCCATTTTAGAATTTACTCTGAAGAATCCAAATATGATCTGAAACAGTGTTGAATTAAACTCTATATATGAGTCACTTCTGTTTACTTTGTACCTATAGGCAATACAATATCACCCCTTTGAGCACTTCAATGGATTTTTGAATCGCTTAAAGGACTTGTATTCTGAAGTTTTTGTCCCGATAAAAAACTTTCCATCAGAACATAGGCTCCAGGTCCAACTGTTCTCCTCCTGCAAATCTCACTGGGGAGGCGTATTCTAAAATATCTCTTCGTTTCCAAATGGACTATAATTGAAGTTCACTTTAATCTCCTCTGAGTAAAAACACCTCTGAAATTGTCTTTAATGTTATTTTTTTTATTCATTTTTGTTTTTTGTGAAATACTATGCGAGCTTCTGTGACAACGCAATTTCCCTTGTGGATCAATAAAGTTTGTCAGTTTAGCGCTTACTGCTGCATCTCCCGCTGTGGCCGCCAGGTGGGGGTAGAAACAAACAGTCAATGAAAGAAACCTGTTGCATAGTTTTGTCCAAAAGCCACGACAGCAAATAGTGTGTTTGTTCTATACTGTTTATTATGTGTGTATATAAACATGACATCACCATATATTATTATATAACACAATCTTTGTGTTTTCTCTAAAATCTACTCACCTCAGAACACATTCAAAAACAATCATAAGTTTCGCTATTGAAGCATTGAACATTCATTTAAGTGCGCTATCAACGTGATTACTAAAGTTTTCAGTGGTCACTTGTGTGTTTGTTAGTATATGTGTATTTTGATGTTGTTTTGGGGTAAAAGACCAAAAATACTAAGGGCTCGTCCGGGATTTGAACCCGGGACCTCTCGCACCCAAAGCGAGAATCATACCCCTAGACCAACGAGCCACGCAAAACTCGAATGAATAATTAAATATAGATTCAAAACATGACAATGCGAATGTGTGACATGTTTATTTTACTTTTTGTAGTGATTTACTTCAAGAACTGGAGCGTTGTCGTACGTGGCGTTATAATAAGGACGAGGCGCTCATAGACTGTAAAGGTTACTACAGATTCTAACTTCACGTAACTCCTGCTTAATAGTGCAAAAACAGCATACAGATCACCTCTGGTAAAAGTAAAACTCATTCATTTAAGTAAAAGTATGAAAGTACAAGCTGTTGTGTGTACTTAAAGCTGGAGTACGTAACTTTTCCAACCACAATAAGATACATGTCACTACTTCTTTAAACATCACTAGTTTTCACATGCATGGATTTTAGATTCGGTCACATCTTCAGATCAGATTTTTCAGGCAGAAAAGTGAAAAAGAGTGGACCACCCTCACTCAGCCAATCAGCTCTCAGCCCAAAGAGTCAACTAGTGACTCACATTGTTAATTCTTACACAATAGATCACATATTTGCTGATAAGAGGAAGATAGTACATGTTATATTCTGACCTGCTGACAACATTTTACAATATGTTATTATATATGTAACTAAAAACAGGGGTTCCAGCTTTAATGGCAGACGTTTGGATCATTCCAGCGCTGATAATGAGCACAAACTTACATAGAGCCCCTTTAAAACAGTAGTTTGTTATTAGGCCTTACAGATCCTATGTCCCAGCCGCTTCATGCCATGTGACTCCCCGTCCCCTCAGGCTCCATGACAGATGTTTCCAATGTTCCTACAGCAACACACTCCAATGGAAATTCCCACTGCCTCAAAGTGAAAGTAAAAGTTGAGAAACTGGTACTAACTGGTCCTAACTGATACTAACTGGTACTGACAGGTACTAACTGATACTAACTGGTACTAACTGGTACTAAACTGCTGCCAACTGGTACTAACTGGTCCTAACTGATACTAACTGGTACTGACAGGTACTAACTGATACTAACTGGTACTGACAGGTACTAACTGATACTAACTGGTACTGACTGGTACTAACTGGTACTAACTGTCCATGGAAGCAGATCTCTCAAATCAGTCTCAAAATCCCACTTGAGTTTCCTTTGCGGTGCCTCGAGACTGGAATGTTCTGTGAGGAAGTCCTTCACAAACAAAAGTAAAAGCCTGTGTTTTGGGACTGGAGCCGCCCTGAGCCTTGGGACCGGACTCTGAGACCGGACTCTGAGACCGGACTCTGAGACCGGACTCTGAGACCGGACTCTGAGACCGGACTCTGAGACTGGAAATGTTTGTCGTACTCTGTAAACGTAAAGAAAAGTAAAAGAAAGTCCAGCACAGTCACAGATGAAGCTCTCGCAGGTGACATGGGTCACTGAGGAAAATAAAAATCTATAATTAGTGCATTATGAAAATATGTGAGTCAGCTACATGTGGCTATAGATCCTGTCAGACCTCTGAAACTAAGCAGGGCAGGACCTGGTTAGTGCTATGATGGGAGACTTCTGAGAACAGCAGGTGCTACAGTGGGGCGGCTGCGGCTGTCGAACTGTGGTTGTGTCCTTAGGCAAGACACTTCCCTCACATTAGAATGAATCTGGTGTGTGTGTGGGAGGGGCTGATGGCACAGAACAGTGGCCTTGCTTCTGTCAGTGTGCCCCAGGGCAGCTACAGCTTAGAGTGTTTTGAGTGAAAGAATAATGACATGTGAATCATCTTTGAGTGTCCAGAAACGCATTATTTCAAAATAATATTATTATTATTATGATTATTATTATTATTATTACATAGAGACAAAGGCACAAGACAATAATAGATTATTTTGCAGGTTTGTCAGTGACGTCATTGTTAGTCTCTTGTTTTGGTCACGTTAATGTCCAAACCAAACATAAACCTTTTCTTGAGAGACCTATAAAAAGTCTCTTCGAAGCTAATGGAGGCTAATCTCTGTTTGGTACGAGTTTATTTCCCTCTGATGAAAACCGCTGTATCATGATGCATCACAAAAGAGAGACTTTCCATGGACCATATTCTCCAAACCCTCCAACCATGAGCTGCGACAGAGCGATACCATGTGGATTTATTTATTCATTCATTATTCAATATATTTAAGTTATGTTCAGTCTTAAAGTTACTGTGGTTCATCTGCTCCACGTGTCTTTGTTGTTTACATTTGTATTAAATATATGACCAACCTTGCTCTCTACTCCCCTCTGCTGGTGAGGAAGGGGAGTGCACGTGATCAGTGACGTCATGAGGAGTTGGTGCTTCAGTGTAAACAAACAGGTTCTATGTAATCCTTCTGTGGTTGTTGTAAAGTATGATTGCATGTTGAAAAAAGTGCTGTACCATTTTTTTTTTCATTCACTCAGCATTGGCCTTTTAGAGCTTCCCGGTCGTGGGTTCGATCCCCCTGCAACACCTACTGCATCTGCTCTAGCTGTCTGCTGTGTTCTGTCCCTGGGCAAGACACTTAACCCGACTTTGCCTGAAGCCCAAGACTGTGTCATCGCCAGATCCATGGTCATCATTGACAGAGCAGCCAACCTTCAGTGGACTCACAGGATATTTAGGAATTTAGAGTTTATTTCTATTACAGGCCTATTACGTCACGCCAATTTGAACAACCTTTATGTTCTGAAATGTTGTGACCCATTTAATCATACAGTCTGAGATACATGTGATTCTAAGATTTAAATCCATTCAAATACATACATTTATCCATACAATGAGCAGGCTGCAAGTGTGCCTTCTAAAAGCCATCAGCAGAGAGCGCTGTACTATAACTATAGGCTCTTTACTCACACAGGAGTCTAACCTGTAGGGGGCGCCAGTGAATCATCAGAATATTTACAACTTTTGCAGACAGCTGAATCCATCATTCAAATGGATTCACAAAACTATCGGTCACATTTTACGCACGCACGTGACGTATGCTATCGTTAGTTCTAGATCCTGGCACGTGCAGTCCCTGATATATATTAACCAAGAAAAGCAGGAGAGATTCAAACAGAAAGAAAGAAAATAGTGCTGAAGTAAACAGAACCAGGTCAAAGATGAGCTCGGGGTCGCCTCATCAATTATCCACATTCTCCCTTAAATTATAGATGGTCTCTGTGCACGCGCCTCCCTGTCTTTAACAGTCTGAGGAGACGGATGGGAGGGATGGGAGACGGATGGGAGACGGATGGGAGACGGATGGGAGGGATGGGAGGGGCCGCGCGCTCGCTCCGTCGTGCACGCGCATGTCAGCACGCACTCGGAGCTGGAGCAGAGAGAGCGCACCGCGGACTGCAGCCTCTCTGCGGGAAAATGTGCACTTCCCCGCGGTCTGAGCTTCGCCAAAGTCTCGCAAAGGGAGTTTATCTGAGTCTGGTCTGAGTCTGGTGTGAGTCTGGGCAGAAGAGCGACCACTGCGGCTGGACACGGACGCTTCTGAAGTTGCTCTGACAGGTAGGATGGATGTATTATCTCTGTATTATGAGACAAACGGGCAAAAATAACACCTTTGAATGCATGTAGAAATATACAATATGTACATGTTTATCCGGAGTGAGACTTCTGGTGTGTGCAGCTTTTTGTCTCTCGTTTAATTTTGTATGTGTATACTGGTCTAATGAAATATGTGTGATGTTTTGCAGACGGAGAGGATGTCTGTGCGTAGCGTGGTGGCTGTGTGGGCGCTGCTGGTCTCAGTGGTGCAGTGCTGCCCTCAGCCCTGTACCTGTGTGGACAAAGATGTGCAGAATCTGGCCAACTGTGCGTATAAGGAGCTGGTGGAGGTCCCCATGGGTCTGCCCCCCAAGATCACCACCCTGAGCCTCTCTGCCAACAAGATCAAAGTGCTCAAGAGTAAAAGCTTTGTGAACGTGACTCAGGTTAACTCTCTGTGGCTCGCTCACAATGAGATTCTGACGATAGAGAGGGACACGCTGGCTCCACTGGTGCAGCTCAAGAACCTGGACATAAGCTACAACAAAATTATCAACTTTCCCTGGGAGGATCTGCAAAACATGACGGCGCTGCAGCTGCTAAAGATGAATAACAACGAGATGGTGAGTCTGCCAAAGGACGCCTTCTCCACGCTGGCGGATCTGAGGTCTCTGCGCATCAACAACAACAAGTTCACCACGATTGTCCAGGGTACGTTCTCCACCTTGTCCTCCCTGTCCCACCTGCAGATCTTCAACAACCCTTTCTCCTGCTCCTGCGCCGTGGAGTGGCTCCGGGACTGGATTGCTGCCACCAAGATTTCAGTTCCCGAGCCCAACAACATCGTGTGTGACAGTCCTGAGCATCTGAAGGGAACAATGATCACCAATATGCCTCAACTCAGCTGCAAACCCCCCGTTGTGTCCATCACGAACCAGCCAGACCTGGAGAGCACCGAGCTGAGTGAGGGGGCGTTTGTGGTTTTAACCTGCGAGGCTGAGGGAATGCCTCTGCCTCAGAAGGTGTGGGAGCTGACCACTGCCAGCAAGAACTATCTATTCCCTCTGCCGGCGAATGGAGCCAATTCTGACAAGCCCATTAACGACAAGGCGACCAACAGCCTGTTCCTCGTCTTTCAAAATGGCAGCCTGGTCATCCCTCGCCTAAGCAAAAGCGTGGAGGGAAACTACAGCTGCTCAGCCTCCAACGACGTGGGCAGAGCTCAGAGCAGCGTCCGAGTGGTTTTGGCCTCACAGAAGTACGTCTCCAAAACAACTCCGGATTCTACCGATAAATTTCCTTCCGTGAATAAGCCTGATTCATCCAAAGCCTCCAAGAACAACGTGATAAACAGATCCAAGAGCGACGAGAGGACCAAGGCGGATGACGCGTCCGGGAAACATGAGGCTGAGCAGGCGGGAGGAAAATCCAAAGAACCAGCGTTGGGGAGTAAGTGTGGAGTGAAAGACGGCAGCGAGTATGTCTCCAACCACGCCTTCAACATGACTCTAGACGACCTCAAACAGTACACCTTCGACTTCGGGGTTATCGCGCTAGAAGTGTCCGAGACTGAGGCGAAAGTCCAGCTGAATCCGCTACAGCTCCCCAGCGGCAAAACCACCAACCTGCACCTGAGCCCCAACGACCACCTAGACACGGTCAACAAGGTGCCAATCAAGGTGTTCGAGGCGACCAGCTCCCAGGCCACTCTGGACATGCTCTATCTGTGTGTGGACTCGGGAAACGGACACTCCATGGTGCAGTGGTCCAAGATAGAGGAGGGCGTCAACTCCTACCGCTTCCATCACCTTCACCCCGGTACTAACTACACCCTCTGCCTCACGTACGGAGGCCAGGACTGCCAGGTGCAAGTCGTCTTCACCACCAGGAAGAAGATCCCCTCCCTGCTCATTATCGTGGTCGTGAGTATTTTCCTCTTGGCTTTGGCCACTGTGCCTCTGCTGGGGGCCACCTGCTGCCACCTCCTGTACAAATACCAAGGAAAAACCTACAAGCTCGTCATGAAAACGCAGAACCCGGATCAGATGGAGAAGCAAATGGCGTCTGATTTCAACCCAAGGGCGTCGTACGTGGGCTCAGAGAAGAACTTTGGCCCCAGCGAGGAGGACGAGGAGGAAGAGGAGGAGGAGGGCGAGGCTGACGACGCAGACCAGGGAGAGGCAGAGGGCAGCGTGGTCACAGAGTCCAACCAGGGGTCGTCATCCAAAACCAACCCTGAGGAGTTCGAGGTGGGCTCCGAGTACAGCGACCGCCTTCCTCTCGGCGCAGAGGCGGTCACCATCTCTGAGGAAATCAACGGCAATTACAAAGAGCCGAGTCGCTGAGCCGCCCCAGCCTCGCGGCCTCTGTACATATCCATCCAAGTCGCTACATCAGAAGAGAACTCAAAACACGGACGCTGTAAAAGGATTCAAATCAAAGCGTGACTCTTTCATTTTTACCTCAAAAAGCACCGCGCCAGAGATTGAAAATACATGTACATGCTGTGTTTAGAGCTGGGTCTCCAACCTAGAGCTCAGGACCGGAGCTACCAGCGTCTCACCACAATTGTCGAAGAGAGGAATTTAAATGTAAAAATGCCTGCTTTTTGTGATGATAAATTCTGATGGACTGATTTAAAGGTGTGACACAACACGACCCAAAAAACAAGATAGAAATGATCCAAATTTGCCTATTTTAATTAGAGGACATTTTGACGGTTGGAGCAAGAAATACATGTGCTTTATCTGGGCTGGAAATATGCCTAAAGCTGGTTGTTCCATTGTTTTAAGAAATGTTTTCAAATCAAGATCAAATCCACCGCAAGTAAGTAATCTTTATCTGTATGACGCCTTTCACAGGCAGTCACCAAACGCTTTACAATTGATAGATGGGAGTGAGGTCGCCATACAAGATGCGCATATACCAGACCTATTGTAAATGTTTTTAGTGGTCTGGGGAACCCGGAGCACCCGGAGGAAACCGACACAGCTCCCCTTTAAATCGTATGTTTAAAAGCAGTATGTTCTCTGCCACTTTAGGCCAGATAGAGTAGCTCTCCCAGGGAAAAGGTTGGAGACCCGTGTAGTGTTAACGTTTACAGACCAAGCACAAGAATAGGTTACTTGTGGGAGAAACGCGCGTAAAAACAGAAAATCCCACACCAGAGACGCGCGAGTTTACGTCTTGGTGCGTAAAGAAGATTATTGGAAGACCTACGCAGAGCACAACACCAAACAATAGTGCCATATTTTATACCCAGACGCGCAGGCCTCGTTACGCACAGCCAGTGTCGTTACGCACAGCCAGTGTCGTTACGCACAGCCAGTTCTGCTACTGTCTCAAAACATCGCGCTCTCCTCTGTCTTTGGCACCAGTTTTTACCTCTCTGACATGACATTAGCTCCACAAACGTGACGTGCCGTATCCAACATGCTACTCCTCATTACCAGCTCGTGTGACGTTACGTGAAGGCTTAATTCCCCTCAACATATTATTCCCGGGTGCGTCTTCATTTTAGAATCGTGTCCATGGCATGTCACGCGTGGTTGTGTGTTTAGTGTAGTCTATACGCAGAATAGAATCCTTGTTGACCTTGTTGATGTATAGCCACGTAATGCAAAACATCCGATTCGACTTTAATTTAAGGCCTTATCTTTTGTATTATTTGTTATTTTTTTACGACCGGTGAGTTTTTACTAAGTGCCGCTTTAAGGCTTCCTCGTCTTGTATTTAAACGTGTGACATTTTGTGAACTGTTGTAACCAAACAATTTTTGATATTATTATTGTGTACGTGGAACTAATAAAACATGGTCTAAATCTTTGCTGTAGTCTTCGCTTTAAACTTGTTTGTGTAAATGTGTTTTTTCCTTCGTACTGAGAGAGAGAGACGCGCGCCTGGAGAGCTTTACGCACAGGCCTCTCTCGGCTCTTTGTTCTTTACGCGCATCCAACAGTCACACCCTGAGGCCTGGTTTGATATATTCTTCTTTATTTCAACAGTAAAAACGAACACGGTTCTTCAAATAAACTAAACATATTATTCCAACTCAAAGGGAAACAATTAAGAATCAAATCCACAGGTGCCACAAAAAGAAACGTACATTATTCTGACTTAGACAGTTTAATTAAATTATGCAATAAAGGGGTCAATGTTTATAAGTATTTTTGAGCTCTAGCACAAACATTGTCTTTTTTGTTGTATAAACTGTAACTGTTGCTGAACTGAAAATGAGACCTAGTCCAAGTCATACGTAATAAGAATGCAGGTTTTGGCGACTTCACGCCACGTTCCACTGTGTTATTGTCACATATTTTGAAAACAACACAATGGAAGCAGATTTATCCAAACAAAAGCAAGTGTGAGTTCTATTATTTGTTCCAGTTTTTGCTGTTTTCTTCCGACGCCGCGAGGTTCGTTGCAGTTTCAGTCGCTGGCCGCGCTCTCTGTCTCTGTCCCCGGGGCCTCTCTCCGACTCCCATCCTTGGAGCTCCTCTTCCCGTCCTTGGAGCTCTTCCTGAGGCTGCCGTTCACGAAGCTGTCGCGGCTCTGGCTCTGGAAGTGTTTCCTGGAGCCCACCAGAGCCGGGTTGTTCACCAGAGTGTAGAGGAGCTGCCAGTGGCCCCGCGCACGCTTGGCACTGGACACTTGGTGCACTTTCTTCTCCTTTTGGACCAACTGGATCCCTGTGGATATTACACAGACCCGTGAGAACAGAGAGGACACGCGGGAGCTGAGAGGAGGCTCCAGATAAGGAGGCTCGTGCAGATAAGTACAAGATTTTAGGCCAAAATCATTGAATTTCACTCAGACTGCGTAGATTATCTGTAAGAGCCTTTTAAAGAGAGCGTTTCACGGACTAGAATCTCAAAGCATTGTTCTGGACATTTGGATCTCACTCCACACAGAGATGGGAGCAGGCACATGCCAAACCTGGACGTGTTTTTAGTTTATTTGTGCGTATGTCGTGCGTAAAATGACCAGGTCTTGCCCCATGGGTTCTGTTCTCTGTTTTGTTGTGGCGAATGTGACGTGCAGATTATTAAAGCGTCATTGTGCTTTAGGCAAAATCAAGGAAATACTGTCTTTATCTGGAGACGTACGTTTTCGACAGACAGAGGAGGACCGCGTCTCGACCCCATGACCATGTTGAATGCAGTCATGGAGCAGAGCGGGGATCGGTTTATGTCTGTGCGTCTGTTTATGTCTTATTTGTATTTCCAAAGTAGCAGCCTGAGGCCAAGACAGTATCACGTTAATCTTGAATCTTGAACATTGCAAGATTCTTTGTGCTGTTACGTCCTAACGGCAAAACGGTGGCCCGCGAGCCACATAGGGCCCAATTCACGTCTGTGTGCGGCCAGAGAACCATTTAAAGCTGGTTTTCTCAGGAAAACAAACACATCATATATTTTGCTCTAAACAATGAAACCAAAACGTAATTAGTATTACTCCATTAACCCTATGAACCCGTCTGCATCGGCGCCGATGCATGCGCACATGTTTTACAAATGATCAATTTACTCGCAAACGGTAAAACGTAGCAACTTACTTTTTCTTCTTCTGTGAAGTACATATTCAGGGCTTTCCGAAACTAGTTTTGATTTGTCTGTGCGATGCACGGAGGATAAACTACGTTTGTCTGAAAGTCCGTGTCCAAAGCGTGACCCGTGAGGTACAAACAGCTGTGAGATACAAACACACGGGGACTGCCAAAGATCATCAGAGAGTGAGATCTCTCACTCCTCTGCGTTTCCTTGTTCTCCCACAGCTGAAACTACAGCTGCGATTATTGATAAAGACGATAATAAATACAGTAAAATGACATTATGTGTATATGATGTATATAAATATATGTATTATATAAATAATTGATGTTTTTTTTTTTTGTCTCAGTTTCTTATGTTTTACGTTTTTTACAGCTGTGCTACAGAAGCAGCCCCAGCATTATAGACAAACTGCTTCAGGAAGGCCATCAGGAGTACAGAGTTTTATGCTTTTATAGTGGAATTTTGTGAAAAGTATAATAGTTAGAGATTTATTTTTTTCCCCATTATCCCCAAGACCATAAATAACATTTCTGTGCAGTGTAAAAAGTTGTTTATAGCATTTCATTGTGTTTTTTAATACATTTTTGTTAAATTGATTTTCCGTTTGATTTTTTTCTTTGTCTTCATGATTCCATCATTTTTATATAATTCATATGACAGCTTTACAATATGAATATTCTAAAACCCCAGGTTGTACTGAAAAAAACAAAGTCTACTGCTTGACTCTGCTTCAAAAGACTGTTTTATGAACAATTATACACAAAGAAAACCAGGCGAGGAAGGTTCCCCAAAATGACCCATGTGCACAGAGGGTTAACACATTATTTTGCCAACAGCACTGTCTTCTTTAGCTTTGGTCCAGTTCAATCCAATTTAAACTGAGCTCATACTTATTCTATACATTGTAAAGGGGTAATCAAAATACCATCGATGCAAAATTATAGTTCTCATTTTTTCCCACAAATGAACACAGAAAAAACTGGATATATCTGAAATACCTGAAATACTTTCTTTTTGCTGCACAACTGAAGTATCTTTCACCGCGTCATTCAAACACACATTATGTTTCATGAGTGTTTTTTTTTTCAATATAAACAAAATTGCGGTCCACATGGTCCCGCCCTCACACTGCCACCCCTCATTCAACTCATTTACTGCCATTGGCGTATTTATCTGAGATCGGTGATTTCTGTCAAACTTCTTTCTATTCGACTCGGGATTACGGAGAAACAAACTTATTTTTGCTGATCAAAGTAAACAATCCAGTCTTTCAGAATCTGGTTTCATATTTAACATAGTCATAGCACATGATATTCTGTGGGTCTTGAAAATCAGTGAAATCATAAAGGGCTGGCGGTCAATGATAAACAGAACCACACTGCAAACATTTATAAATTAAATAAGTAAAAAAAAAAGTTTAAAATTTGGCTAAATGTGTCTTAATTAGAGCACATTCTGACTGAGCATTAAAACAGGATTTACGAATTCTACAAAACAAAACAATCTTGTTTTAAAACGATACAGAAATGTCTCCTGTGGAATGAGAAAATACAGCAATAGTTCTTTAAATAAGACTAAATGGGTTTGTTCCATAAAAATGTGCTAAAGTGTGATTAAAAAACACTGAATTTAAGCGTTTATTACCTCATATTTGATCATTTTTTCAGTGTAGTTGTTTCCTTATGGTCCTCACACAGCCCACCCCTGACATAACAGGAGCATACTTTGGCACTGACCTTCCTCTGCGTCCCGGGGCCTCGGTGTGACGCTGTCGGGGGCCCCTCTCTGCAGCAGGAGCCCGCAGAAGGCCTTCATCACGGGGTGGGACTGGCTCACCTCGATCTTCAGATAATGAGCGTAGCAGCGGTACGCTACGGACACAGGGAGGCGTCACTCACACCATCAACACGTCCAGACACCATCGCACACATACCATCTGTCACCACGTCAGACCATGGGAACACAACCAGGCCTGATAATAATGACAATAATAATCATAATAATAATAATAATAAAGCATTGGTTTTATGCAGTGTTTTTCTTCACGTGTTATTATTCTCTCTCCAAACACGGTGGTGATGAACTACTGACGCCACAGCTGCCCTGGGGCAGACTGACAGAAGAGAGGCAACCAGTCTGTGCCATCAGCCATGAATAGACTCTTAAATATACCTGGGTCAAATGCCTCCACTAAACCAGGACTAAATCAGGACTAAACCAGGACTACCCCAGATCTAAATCAGGACTAAACCAGGACTACCCCAGATCTAAATCAGGACTAAACCAGGAT